TAACTTTTGCCAAAAGAGCGCGCAGCAAGTGAGGCAATGATACCATCTCTTTGCCCCAGACGGCATCACCCTCGCAAGAATAAGCTGTATCCCTACTTTCCTATATACGTGGAATGGGAAGAGACATGCGCTATACACAGAGAAGCGAGCGTGTAGTAAACTTTTGGCTACGAAAGTAGCCGGTGAACGTCCTATACACAGCGGATATTTAATCGGTTATCATCCTTATATAATGTAGTATTTTTTTCTATGTAATTTTAGTTATCAAACAATAGAAATTACTATGGTATGCACAAATTGAAAATCCATCTTGACATAGCAATACTTTAATTGGTAAGGTGTGTGCGGGAGCGTGCGCGTTCGTGTCTGTTTATCAACGATTCTTACGAAAATTGACATTACATTCTGCTGTAAGGTCTCTGACTTACTGCTCTGACTACTGCTTCTATTACGGTAATGTATTTTTTATTAAAGTACATCAACCTGTATTTTTTGTTATTTGCAAAAGTAAACCGTGTAGCTTGTGTAGTATAATATCAATTTCTCTATACTTTATAATTTCAATTAACACCAAGGTTACACCGTTTTCTTTAAGCAAAAACAGAAGATACTGGTTATTTTGCTTTCCTAAAGAACATTTCTCCGCAGTTTATACGATTCCTGAAACTATAATGCAAAATGTCCTATCGGTTCTCGAAAGAATAACAAATATTTATATCTGTATGTATATGAACACTTATAATAGGTACCCATACGAAGACCTTGGATCAGTCGTTCTGAAGACATTGACGTGCTTATTTGTCAGCAAACAATTTTAAATTCAAACGTATTATTTGGTATTAATCTACACATCTATATCTTAATTTTGGAATAAAAGTTATTAAATAAATCTAACTATCCAACGTCAGAGAGGTGACTTTATTGCTTTAAATATTTGTATTATAACTAATATTAAATATCTATAATTGAATTTAGTTGATACAGGTTACTTTCTTATTACTCTTCGTGATAGCTATCAGTTTATTATAATTTTATTGTACTTAAAATTATTACTACTTTTTATGGTTTTTTATAATTTAGGAAAAGTATAACATTGTAAAAGGGTCTAAATAGATTGAGAACGTGTAAAGTATGAAAGTAATATAAAAAACGTTACAGTAAAGTGAGTTGAAAAATATTTCTGATGGATAAGAGAGTTGAATCAAAAAATATTAATCAAAATGAAGAAACGGATAATGACACAAAAGAAGATGAACACAAACAGCGAGGTAAGAATTATATAGTCCCTAATAATCATTCTTAATTTTATTCATGCCATTGAACATTAAAATTTGATCAACAAAATTAATACGTTAAATAATGCATCATACAAAGAAACAAAAATTTTGATGTAGAATAATTTTATCAATAATCATCGTACCGAGATTTTCAGAACAATACTTTAAAGCTATGAATCTGTTCTTCTCAGACATTTAATTCAAACGACATTTTATAAAGTAATACAAATAAAAAAGAGGGTGCAACAGATTTCAATATTTTTAACGATATTTGCGAAAATTCCACGTAACGAATTAAACATGTAGCTAATGAATCTGTTCTTTTCGGACATTTATTTCAAACAACGACATTTTATAAAGTTACACAAATAAAAAAGAAGGTGCAACAGATTTCAATATTTTTAACGATATTTGCGAAAATTCCATGTCGCGAATTAAAAATGTGCACTAATACGGTTTAAAAGTAACTGAAAAGGTAAATTTTGGTATCTCACTTTCCTTACTATCGTGCTCTGTACTATTTTCATTATCTGAATTACTATATACGTTGATGTAAAAATAAACATTTTGCTGCAACGTTTAATAAATCTTTGAAAAAAATCTTACAGAGGTCGACGAAAAAGAAAATTACATACAAAAAACGATTTTATCTTTCGGAAGCCATAAAAACCATTTGTGCACAATTATCATTTCGCATCGTGCAACTTCACAAATGTCGTATAAAACTTCAAGATTTGATGAATCGTCGTTTATGATACTCTAACTTTATAAAATATTAGCATAAAATTTTTTGAAATGGCGGTGTGAAGGGTAGAGATTACATTATATAAAATGATTTCTTTAACATTTCGGTCGAATGATCTTTTACGAAATCATTCTTTTTCGAAGTTTGCTTGTTCTTGCAGGTGACGCTTTAATTTGAGTAGAGTATTTTAAAAGTTATGAGAATTATGTTACAATTTTCATTTTTTTCGCAACAAGATCTTTCTTTAATTTTAAGATGATCGTTCTAACTCCCCAACAATTTCAAATAAAGAGAATAGAAACATACATGAAATTAGACTACACATATGTAAAGCATGTGGTAAAGGGACTATATACCTCTGGACTGCTATAGTTACCCCAACTTTTCCTACCTTTTCCATAAGATAGAAAGAGAGGACCGTGTATCCTAAAGATCTCAAAGCCATCAGGTCCGGATGTTGGCCAAATCAAGAACTAACTAGCTGCATTTCGAGTAAGAATCGATACAATCGGGACGCGTGTGAGGTTATATATTTTATTTAAACTATTATAAAATAATAATTAACGAGGTGAAGGACAATGAGAGTCAATTCGTAAGTAAACAAGAAAGCGATTATAACATAAAAATTATAATATGAATTTTCAAAGAAAAAGAATACAAACAAAATACTTAGCCGCTTTAGACACAATTAAAAATTAGAATATCGGTCACTATATAATAGTATAAAAAATCGCTAGATGTAAAATGTCGTAACCAGTTTCGACTCTTGGTTTGAAATCTAGCGATTTTTTATACTATTATATAGTGACCGATATTCTAATTTTTAATTGTGTCTAAAGCGGCTAAGTATTTTGTTTGTATTCTTTTTCTTTGAAAATTCATATTATAATTTTTATGTTATAATCGCTTTCTTGTTTACTTACGTATTGACTCTCGTTGTCCTTCACCTCGTTAATTATTATTTTCATATAAAGAGTCCTTCAACTTTAATTTTATTATAAAATATTCAATTAAGGTCCTTACGCTATCATAAGCCGAGACAAAAATAAAAATAAAATTTAAAAAATGGTCCGTTATTGTTCTGCGGAAACGTGTAAAAATACAAACATGAAATACAGTCCTGCAGGAGCAAGTTTAACAAAAGAAAAAAATGTGTCATTTTATAAGTAAGTTTAAGATTTTGTGATATGTGAACCTTAAATGTGGAACACTATTTACTTTTTTCCATTCAAGTAATAATAATTTAAACAATTGTGCTTCCATATAGGATTCTAATCATACATTCATATCCATTTTATATTTATTATTATTATAGAGAACATTCTTTATTATTATATATCAGAAATACATAATAATAAAGAATATTCTCTATAATAATAATAAATATAAAATAGATGAATGTAAGATTAGAATCCTATGGAAGCACAATTGTTTAAATTATTATTACTTGAATAAAAAAAAGTAAATAGTGTTCCAGATTTAAGGTTCACATATCACAAAATCTAAAACTTACTTATAAAATGACACACCTTTTTCTTTTGTCGAACTTGCAAATGCAGGACTGTATTTCATGTTTGTATTTTTACACGTTTCCGCAGAACAATAACGGACTATTTTTTTAATTTTATTTTTATTTTTATCTCTGCTTATGATAGCGTAAGGACCTTAATTGAATATTTTATAATAGTTTAAATAAAATATATAACCTCACACGCGTCCCGATTGTATCGATTCTTACTCGAAATGCAGCTAGTTAGTTCTTGATTTGGCCAACTTCCGGATCTGATGGCTCTGAGATCTTGGATTCCAGTAATGGCTGCCGTTATCAGTCCAGAGGTATATAATGAAAGCTTAAAACTAATTGTAGTTTGAGTAGACACGAGAGAACTCATAAAAACGAAAAGCCTTATCAATGCGATATTTATGTAATATCATTGCGATATTATATGTAAGTGGGTATTTAAGTGAACAACAAGAATTAGGAAATGCTTTGGTGATTCAATATCATTGATTAAATAACTGGTAAATGTAATAAAAATTGAAACGGTCGTTTTGCAGGACAAAAGATAACTTAAGAACACACGTGGTGGAAATGCACTATAATGATGAAACGTTTCAAGTCTAAGAAGGATTTATATACTGGAGGTGTATTATACAAATGCGGAACGTGTCAAAAAGAGTTTAAGGACGTTCACCGGCTACAATCGTAGCCAAAAGTTTACTGCTCGCTCGCTTCTCGGTGCATAGCGCATATCTCTCCCCACTCCGCTTCCCATGCCAATACTTTTTCTGCTGAGTGTACTCACGCACAAGCAAACGGGGTTCGATGCCTTGTATGTATACACGCACACTAGCCTGTTGAGAAAAGCGGAGACCCGTCTCATAGCAACGGCTCATGCGGCGACTTACTTCAAGTGCTATCGGATACACCACTTCGAACTTCGATAACTCAAAAACGGCACCGCTACGGATCCCCGTTTTTTTAAATGTTATTTTTAGCATCGTCCTGCATCATATCCTAATTTTTTAGAACAATCGTATAGATATCACAGTTGCTATGAATTGCAATGTCACTTGAGCGCACGCTTGGGCTATACCTTACATGTTAAAAGTTGCAACTTTGAAAATTAATAACTCGAATTTGGTACCGCTAAATTTTCTGAATTTTGGAGGATATATCGATAATGATATTAATATCATGTAGTTAAAATTTGAAGCATTTTGTATAGAAATCGATTAGCCGGTGAACGTCCTTAAGGACAAAACAAAATTCCAAATTCATAAGAGAACTCATACAGGCGAAAAACCTTAACAATGCGAGTTTTGTAAATATAAATGTGGGTGAGTATTTAATTGAATAACAAAAGTTAAGGAAATGCTTTGGTCATTCAACATCAATGATTAAATTAAAAGGTAAAAAATAATAAATATTACAGTAATCTGTTTGCACGCAAAAGGTACATCTATGTAGTCACGTGATGTCAAAACATAACGATGATGAACGTTTCAAGTCTAATAAGGACCTATATACTAGAGGTGTATCATACAAATGCAAAACGTGTAATAAAGAGTTTAAGAAAAAATCAAGTTTTCATATGCATGAAAGAACTCATACAGACAAACTTTATCAATGCGAGTTTTGTAAATATAAATGTGTGTGAGTATTTAATTGAACAACAAGAGTTAGGAAAATGCTTTTGTTATTCAATATCAATGATTAAATTAACAGGTAAAAAATAATAAATATTACAATGATCCATTTTCAGGCTAAAGGTACAGCTAAGTAATCACATGATATTAAAACACAACGATGATGAACGTTTCAAGTCTAATAAGGATCTATATGCTGGAGGTGTATTACACAAATGCGGAACGTGTACTAAAGAGTTTAAGAACAAATCGTGTTTTCTTAGACATGAAAGAACTCATATAGGCGAAAAACCTCATCAATGCGAGTTTTGTAAATATAAATCTAAGTGAGTATTTAAGTGAACTGCAATAGTTATAGGGAAATGCTTTGGTACTTCATTATCAATGATTAAATTAACTGGTAAGAATAATAAATATTTCAACGGTCGTTTCGCAGATATAAAAAAACGCTAAGACAACATGTGGTGGCAAAGCATAACAATGATGAACGTTTCAAATCTAATAAGGACTTATATACTGGAGGTGTATCATACAAATGCAAAATGTGTAATAAAGAGTTTGTGGACAAATCAAAATTACATATGCATGAAAGAACTCATACAGGCGAAAAACCTTATCAATGCGAGTTTTGTGTTGCTAAATTTGGGTAAGTATTTAATTGAACTGCAATAGTTATAGGGAAATGCTTTGGTACTTCATTATCAATGATTAAATTAACTGGTAAGAATAATAAATATTTCAACGGTCGTTTCGCAGATATAAAGAAGTGCTAAGACAACATGTGGTGGCAAAGCATTACAATGATGAACGTTTCAAGTCTAATAAGGACCTATATACTGAAGGTGTATCATACAAATGCAAAACGTGTAATAAAGAGTTTAAGAACAAAACGAATTGTCATAAGCATGAAAGAATTCATACAAGCGAAAAACCTTATCAATGCGAATTTTGTGAAAATAAATTTAGGTGAGTATTTCAGTGAACTGCAATAGTTATAGGGAAATGCTTTGGTACTTCATTATCAATAATTAAATTAACTGGTAAGAATGATAAATATTTCAACGGTCGTTTCGCAGATATAAAAAAACGCTAAGACAACATGTGGTGGCAAAGCATAACAATGATGAACGTTTCAAGTCTAATAAGGACCTATATACTAGAGGTGTATCATACAAATGCAAAACGTGTAATAAAGAGTTTAAGAAAAAATCAAATTTTCATATGCATGAAAGAACTCATACAGGCGAAAAACCTTATCAATGCGAGTTTTGTGTTGGTAAATTTGGGTAAGTATTTAATTGAACTGCAATAGTTATAGGGAAATGCTTTGGTACTTCATTATCAATGATTAAATTAATTGGTAAAAATAATAAATATTTCAACGATCGTTTCGCAGATATAAAAAAACGCTAATACAACATATGGTGACAAAGCATAACAATGATGAACGTTTCAAGTTTAATAAGGACCTATATACTGGAGGTGTATCATACAAATGCAAAACGTGTAATAAAGAGTTTATGGACAAAACGAATTGTCATAGGCATGAAAGAATTCATACAGGCGAAAAACCTTATCAATGCGAGTTTTGTGTTGATAAATTTGGGTGAGTATTTCAGTGAACTGCAATAGTTATAGGGAAATGCTTTGGTACTTCATTATCAATGATTAAATTAACTGGTAAGAATAATAAATATTTCAACGGTCGTTTCGCAGATATAAAGAAGGGCTAACACAACATGTGATGACAAAGCATAACAATGATGAACGTTTCAAGTCTAATAAGGACCTATATACTGGAGGTGTATCATACAAATGCAAAACGTGTAATAAAGAGTTTATAAACAACTCAAAATTACATATGCATGAAAGAACTCATACAGGCGAAAAACCTTATCAATGCGAGTTTTGTGTTGCTAAATTTGGGTAAGTATTTAATTGAACTACATAGGGAAATGCTTTGATAATTCATTATCAATGATTAAATTAATTGGTAAAAATAATAAATATTTCAACGATCGTTTCGCAGAAATAAAGTAGTGCTAAGACAACATATGGTGGCAAAGCATAACAATGATGAACGTTTCAAGTCTAATAAGGACCTATATGCTGGAGGTGTATCATACAAATGCAAAACGTGTAATAAAGAGTTTAAGAACAAAACGCATTTACGTAGCCATGAAAGAATTCATACAGGCGAAAAACCTTATCAATGCGAATTTTGTAGATATAAATTTAGGTGAGTATTTAAGTGAACAACAAGAGTTAGGAAAATGCTTTGGTTATTCAATATCAATGACTAAATTAACAGGTAAAAAATAATAAATATTACAATGATCCATTTTCAGGCTAAAGGTACAGCTAAGTAATCACATGATATTAAAACACAACGATGATGAACGTTTCAAGTCTAATAAGGATCTATATGCTGGAGGTGTATTACACAAATGCGGAACGTGTACTAAAGAGTTTAAGTTCAAATCGTGTTTTCTTAGACATGAAAGAACTCATACAGGCAAAAAACCTTATGAATGCGAATTTTGTAAATATAAATGTAGGTGAGTATTTAAGTGAATAATAAGAGTTAGGAAAATGCTTTGATTATTCAATATCAATGATAAAATCAATAGGTAAAAAAT